GGCATAGTGCACGTGGGTTATCACCACAGCAGCTCCCACTGGGTGAGCTTCACCATGTCAAGGGTGCCTCGTGGTCCAGGGCATCTTCCACTGGAGCTGGAGACAGCCGTTTCATATGGGGGATACTGGATGTCCCGTCACATTCCACACCAGGATGTGGCACGTCTCGCAGCCAGTGGAGAGGAGGAATGAGCTGTGGAGACCCCATGGGAGATGGGACATGTGCAAACAGGCAGAGAGTGATGGATGGGTGCTCTCGGCAGCATGGGGATCACAACCAGCTTGCAATGAGGGGGGCCCTATGCAGCTCTGTGCCCTGCTCAGGAGGACACCATACGTTGGCAGGCAGCGGCTGTGACTCAACGGGTCCGTTTCATCTCCCTCAGATCTCTTGCCCTTTTTTTTCCCCTCTTTAATCCATTTGCCTCATTGACTTTATTTTACAATGCAGTGCTGGGTTCACTGAAGAGCACTTTGGTCATTAAGCACGTTGGGGCATGTGAGTAAACCTGCATCTCCAAACTGTAAATCCCTTTAAAGCCAGTATCAAATGGGAGGGATGCGAAGGGCACGGCGTGACCCTGCGTGCCCCTCCAGCTGCGCCTCACCTCTGCTCACCACCACTCCTCATTTGGGATGTTTGGAAGGGATAAACCCAACCAGGGTGAGCAGGTCTGAAGCCCCATCCCCTTGCATGTCCTTTAAGGTGTCCAGGTCCCCATTCCCCACTGCAGACCTGGACTTTTCCCTTCCCTTTGCAGGGGTCTGGGGCCAGGCTGAGTGCTGCCGGGGTGGGTGTGCAGGGAGGGAGCAATGTGATGCTCTCACAGCTGTGCTGGGACCGGTTCTAGCTCTTTAGCTGCATTTTTCTCAATCCAGCCCTTCGGAGAGGAAGCGTTTGGATAGGAAACGTGGAATTGGGGCATGTCTGAGCAGGGCGAGGGGTCTGAGGGAGGGACACTGGGGAGAGGCAGCAGCAGCAGGGAGGTATGAGCGCTGAGCGAGCCATAGCGTGAGCGCTGCCAGAATCGTTTCCCTGCCTCTTGGTTTCCTTTCCTGTTTGGCTTTGCTGCCCACACAGTTTGTGCTCAAGCTGTCCGCAGACGCGATGCTCCCACCCTCCGCAGCCAAAAGTCCCGTTTCTATCCCTGCTCTTTGCTCCTTGCAAGCATGTGTTGGGGGGGACGGGGCAGGAGGCAGGTCCCCATCTCCAAATGCATCATTCCCACTGCAAACCCAGTGCCTCCTCCTCTGTTTGCTCTGGATGGATGCGCTTTCCTTCCCTGCTGCTGCTGAGTATGGAGGCAGCTTGTGCCCTTATTCTGCCTCCCCCCTGCTCTCTGGGGACCTTGCAGTGAGCTCATGTTGAGGAGAACAACAGCAGCGTGGGGGCTGGTGGCCAGGAGGCACCGGTGGCCTCAGTGTGTGGCCTGGCTGTGCCGCTGCTCATCCTTTTGCAGCCGCAGTGGTCCAGGGCGCCGGGAAGCAGATGATGCTTCATTGGGGAGAGTGGGGTTTGTGGGAGGCAACGGCCTGGGAGAACATAAACTGCACCTGAGATGTTATTCTCTGTGTAGGTTTAGTGCTGGGGGATGTGCTGGTAGTAGGGAGGAAGGAAGTTTGTCCTGAGTGGGATTTGTTCAGGTCACAGGGGTCCAGGGATGATGGACCTTCATTGGGAGCATCTCTGCTTCAAAACAAAGTGCTCTGTTTTATGGTGTGGGGTTAAAGTGGGGCACCCACACGGCATTGAACCTGCCTGGGCTCCATTTCCCCACCTGAAGGGTGACAATGAACCTAATCCATGCCCTAAGGCCATGATAATGTCCCCCTTGCAGGCAGGAGGACATCCTGCAGCAGCCCCCCGGCTGGATGTATTGTCGCCATTCCCAGTGCTCCCATCCTTGCAGCTGCACCGGGCTCCTGCCGTGCTCCGGCTCCATCCCAGCCAGCGCAAGGCCAAAAAGGCCTCACCGGGGTGGATCCCATCAGGAAGCGGCTTTGATCTCCGGGCGCTAACACGTCCTCAGATGTGCCGCAGGGGTGACTGCCCTCCTCCCGCGCCGGGAAGGGCAGATAACACATCAGAGCCCGCGCCCACACCCGCGGTATCGCGCCTTTATGGGCCTTTGATTGCTCCCAGCCATGCAGCGCACTCGAGGGGACTTCAAAAGCTGCGCGCTGGACCTGCAACGCCCTGAGCAAAGAGACCCGAGCCGGGCTCCCTGCGCACACAGGGACCTGTGTGGCTGCGCCCATTGACAGAGCTTTATGTCCTATTGCATCCTACAGCAGCAGCAGGAGGTAGTTTTTGGCAGATGAGTGGAGGTGAAGTTGGATGCAGCAGGGTTGGACCCTCTGGATCTCCTTGGTGGGCGCTGCAGGCCTCTGGGGTACCACAGTGATGTGGTTGCTCCTTGCAGTATCCCACATCCTGCTGTGCAGTGATTCCCCAGACCGTGGGCATTAAGGTTTAGTGCCTTGCAAACCCCAGTGATGCTCATGATGCAGGGAGATGCTCAGAGAGGGAGCCCTGGGCATTCAGATTCAGTGCCTTGCAAACCCCAGTGATGCTCATGATGTAGGGAGATGCTCAGAGAGGGAGACCTGGGCATTCAGATTCAGTGCCTTGCAAACCCCAGTGATGCTCATGATGTAGGGAGATGCTCAGAGAGGGAGACGTGGGCATTCAGATTCAGTGCCTTGCAAACCCCAGTGATGCTCATGATGTAGGGAGATGCTCAGAGAGGGAGCCCTGGGCATTCAGATTCAGTGCCTTGCAAGCCCCAGTGATGCTCATGATGTAGGGAGATGCTCAGAGAGGGAGCCCTGGCCATTAAGATTCAGTGCCTTGCAAACCCCAGTGATGCTCATAATGTAGGGAGATGCTCAGAGAGGGAGCCCTGGCCATTAAGATTCAGTGCCTTGCAAACCCCAGTGATGCTCATAATGTAGGGAGATGCTCAGAGAGGGAGCCCTGGGCATTCAGATTCAGTGCCCTGCAAACCCCAGTGATGCTCATGATGTAGGGAGATGCTCAGAGAGGGAGACCTGGCCATTCAGATTCAGTGCCTTGCAAGCCCCAGTGATGCTCATGATGCAGGGAGATGCTCAGAGAGGGAGCCCTGGGCATTCAGATTCAGTGCCTTGCAAACCCCAGTGATGCTCATGATGCAGGGAGATGCTCACAGAGGGAGCCCTGGGCATTAAGATTCAGTGCCTTGCAAGCCCCAGTGATGCTCATGATGTAGGGAGATGCTCAGAGAGGGAGCCCTGGGCATTCAGATTCAGTGCCTTGCAAACCCCAGTGATGCTCATGATGCAGGGAGATGCTCAGAGAGGGAGCCCTGGGCATTCAGATTCAGTGCCTTGCAAACCCCAGTGATGCTCATGATGCAGGGAGATGCTCAGAGCGGGAGGGAGGGTTTGCATCCACTCTGTGCTCACCAGCAGCATGGGAGTTAATGGGGAAAGAGGAGGAAAAGGGCTGTGACCTCCTCCACTCCCCCCCTGCTTTCCCCTTGGCTGCTGCTCTTTCATTGAGGCTGTGTATTGGCCTCCGGAGGATGAAGCTGGGTAACACCACAACATAAACAGAACATCTGGAAGCTCTTAAAGGGTTTTATTTTTTAACACATTTACAAGGGCTGGGGACACTTGCACACAGCGTTTGGCAAACCTGGGGACGATGCTGAGCTCCCTCTTTCCCTGAATTCCCAAAGCTGATTGTCAGGCTTTCCCTGGGGAAGGGGCATGGGACCTGGTTTATTCCTTTGCACCGTATTGCTGAGGGTGCGATATCTTGGGCAGGAGGTGCCAAGCTGGCTTGCATACTCCTTGTGAAGTCCAAAGCAAACAGATGATAAGTGTTGCAGGATGAATGAGCATAAACCTCTACCCTGCTTTCTGTGTGCCCCCAGTTAATGCTGGAGCAGGACGGGGCATCAGGCAGGGTTTGCTCTGGAGAAAAGCTGTTTAATGATCCTATGGAGTGAGCAGGGTGAGAATCAAAGAGGTGAGCAAATGACTGATCACCCCAAGTGGGCCAACGGCCTGTCTGAGCCAGATGGGAGCTGGTTGTGCCGTGCCTAACTGTGCAGTTTGGATCCTCCTGTGCATTGCAGCTGATTTCAGAGCTTGTAGGTGGGGAGCCCATGGACAGAGAGGGATAAATGAGACCCATTCTCACTGTGCTTTCTTATCCGTATCCTTCCAAAAATCTGCAGCAGATTGGGAAAAGGAGCCCCTTTCTGCTAGGGATGGGCTTGGGGTGGCTGCAGCATCCCTGGAAGGGAGGGCAGGCAGAGCTGCCTGTACCACCTGCCCAGTGCTAGCACTGTGCTCATCCCGCATCCCAGCTCAGTGCTGGGATGTTTCACCAGTGGCTTCCACCTCCCTTGGACTGTGTAACGCAGCCCACGTACACACAAGCAGAGGAGCTGCTTTCCCTTCCTCTGCTTCCCCAGATGCTCTTGTTTTGTCTGCCACATGGAAATGGCCATTTGATTTTATTCCATCAGCCCCTGGCTATGTCTCATTCACCCTCACACTATCCCGCACCCTGGTCTGGTGTCTCCTGATCCCGTGGGAGCTGCTTTTGAGCTCTCTGGAGTGATGTGATGTGATGTGAGTAATGCTGGATTTCCCCTGGCTGTTGTCAGCACATCCTTCACTGTGTGAATGGCAGCACGGGCAGAGAGAGTTGCTGTGGATAAAGAGCTGCTCCCAGCCTGCTTGGACATGGACTCTGCAGCCACAATGGGTCCCTCACAGCCCTCAGAGGGCTTCAGCCTCCAAAGTGTGGGGCCCTTGCTGATGCTGAGTGTGGGGTTAGCCTGATGGCACCAGTGCAGAATGTGCTCTAAAGGGAGATGCTGGGGTTGCTGGTGCATCTTCTCTTTTACACGTTGCTCCAAGCATTTAGTTTGGTGACAAAGAAAAATCAGTTTGTTGGATCACCACCCTGGACCCTTGATTGACATTGTGTGTTTCCTTTGCAGGGTCTATGCTGAAGGCTCAGGGTGCAGTGACCTGAGAGGAGACAGCCAGGATGCTACAGCACCGATTGTGACCACAGAGCCCAGGAGCACCCTCCTGAGGATGGGTGCTTCAGCTGCAAGCATGGAGACAGGGAGAGCAGGGACCAGCAGGTCGCCCTGAGCTCACCAAGGAGTGATGGAGCACTCAGGACTGTGGTGAGCTCCTTCATCGAGGACCCACCACCAAAACCAGCTGCCCCTGGACTCACTGGGCTCCACGTTCCCTGGAGCTGACCTTGCTCCCGACTCCCATGCAGAGCCAAAAGGACTTTAATAGCTGCTCTCCTTTGGGATTTGGAAATCATTCTTCTGGCTGGGAAGTGCTGGTGATGGATGGGGAAGTGCTCTTGGGTCACACAGTAGCTGGATGCTTTCCTCTGAGGATGACCAAGTGCTTGCCCGGTTCCAAAGAACCAACTGTGGATTCTTTCTCTTCTTTTACCCATCTGCTCTTCTTTTTGATGCCTTTTGGCTCTTTGTGAGGATGCCTGGACCCAGCCTGCAGCACGTGGCATTCACAATGCCTGCGGTGGGAACTGGAGGGGTGAAAGCCTTTGCAAGAGCCATGGGGCAGAAGCTGAGCTGATCGCAGTGCATGGGGTTCAAATCTGTTTGGCAGAGCCTCATCTTGTGCCACAGCTGTTGGGTGGCCTCAGGGAGGGTCCTTCTGCCGCAGCCAGCCAAGCACCCTCAGCCCTGGCACATCCCATGTGGAGAGAGCAGGGAAAACATCCAGATGGGGGAAAATGTCACCCTCAAACAATTAAACCCCTCAATAAAACCCATTGCCTCTGTGAGTGCTCGCTGTTCTTTTCCGTTTGCCTTGGCTCAGCCACACGTACATCATGGCCCTATCGCGGGGCTGCCGAGGGATGCGTTTGAGTGCACAGGAAACCAGCGCTCTGGCAGGCTTCTCTGCCCCAACAGAGCCAGGCCAACAGTTTAATACCTTTGCTTTGCAGTGAAGTTCTCCCCTGTCCTTTCCCCCTTCCCTGTCTGCATCCCTTACCCTTCGCTGCCCCATAGCACGCCTGGGTGAGCTGCCCCTTGCTTGCCTCCTGCTCCAAAAGCGACTGAAATACCAATTCATTCCCCTTAAATCCTGGTGTTTCCCATCCCTGCACTGTGTGATGTGAAGCGCTGGAAGGTGCTGTGTGGAAATACACCATAAACCAGATATTTATGGAATGGAAATACCCTTTTATTATTCCTTTAAAAAACAGATTTAGACCACTATATAAGAAAAAGGTGTCCTTTCAGTTAAAAAGCACAGTAGCCTCATGCACGTGGGTCCAGTAGAACTGTGCTTGGTGTGCAGCTGGTGACTTGGTGGCAAGCTTGCTGGTGTAACTGGTAGGATCTCTGCCTTTGTTTCTCTTCATGGTGAGTTCCTCCACTGGGGCAAATTTGTCCTTTAAAACCCATTGCTCAGCTCAGGAGCACCCTGGAGAGGTGAAGAACCAGGGTGTGCCCTGGGGCAAAACTATAAGAGAAGAGCAGAGCCCAGAAATCACGGAATCAGAGTGGTTTGGGTTGAAGGGACCTTAAAGCCCCTCCAGCTCCAACCCCTGCCACGGGCAGGGTTACCTTCCACTGGAGCATCTTGCTCCAGTGCCCCAAGCTTCCCCAGGCTCTCTCCCTGGTAGTTTCTCCTCCCTGTCTGAGCTGTGCTGAAGCTGGGGCCATGCCCCAGACAGCAGCAGTGCGTAGGAACAGTCCTCAGGCAAATTGCAGGCTTCCCACCCATGAGTCAAACCTGGATTTTCGGGCTGTGGGACCCATTGTCCCAGCCTGCTGGGGAGCTGCAGAGCACCTCTCCTGCCGAAACCAGACTGCAGCTATGGGGAGACACCTCAAGCGATGGTCCTGTGGGTACCACCACAAGAAGGGTGTGATAAGTGATGCTGGTTGCCATGGTGATGACACACACCGCGCTCTCTGCACCAAACTCAGTGTGCCTACCACTGCCATGTCCCTATAGGAAAGCTGAGTTGGAAGGAGGTTGAATTGCCACAGGGAAGGCAGAAAGACTTTGTGTCACTCAGCCCTGCCAACCCAGCACACACTGGTGATGCCATGGCCAATGCTCATGCTGTGGCATCCCTTCTCCAAACAGTTCCCTACCTTGGAGCTGCTCCTTCATTAATCCCAGCATGTGTGGACCTGCTGATGGGTGCCGGTGCTGCAGACCCTGCTGCAGGGATGGAGGGAGGAAGCTCAGTGCTTGGATACGGCCCTTTTGGAGTTCATAACTAATATTTGCTTCCAAGGCCGGTTGCCTTTAGTGTTGCTCTATAGATCCAGCTTGTTTAGAGCCTGTGAGCAAACAGAAAGCCGGGCCGTTAAAAAGGGAAGGGTGTGGGAGCTGTACTGCTATTTACCTGTGTAACCGGGAGGAAAACCTGCCTGTCATTCTCCCTAATAAATACAAACTGGAAGCACGGATAAACTGATGGGGATTTATTAGTTTGCTTTTCCAAAGGCAAATATTAAGACTGGTTGGTTCTGCCCAAGGGCTGCCTTTTGTGTGCGCTGCAGCCTCTGGCGCCTTTGGGTGCTGATAAAGGCGTGCTCTGGGCTCAGCCTTTATGCTCAAGGAGTTTCTTTTGAGCTCCTTCTGTGTTCCCTTTGCTCAGGCCTGATTCTGCAGGGGCTGAGCACCAGGCAGGGATGCAGGGCATAGCGCTGGATGGGTTTGTTGTGCTCTGGACCACCCCAGCCCTCACCTGCAGCATCGCACTGTAAGGGGTAACACACATCCCTGCCCTATTGATTACGCACTGAAAGCAACCAATCCAGCTTGCCTTGTACCTGCAGCCATGCACATCCAGCTTTGAAGAGACCCTTTTGGCTACCCCACTGCCAAATTACTGCTTCTTTTGGGGTATTGAGGCCAGCAGCAATACCACTGGGGACAAATGGATGTGAGTGCTGGCCTGGGGAAGCTGGATTAGGTTTTCCTTGGGTTCCTAATATAGGGATCCTGTTCCATAGAGGCTCAGCAGGCAGAAATCCCCTTGCTTGCTTTCATCCTTGTCCTTGGGAAAAAGAGGGGAGCGGAGTCCAGCTGGGATGGGGATGGCTTGAGGAGAGCAGGCAGTAAATTTTGTTTGCTCCAGGTTGAATGAACACGAAGTTAGAAACCAGGAGCCATTGCAAAGAGGAGGAGGAGCCGAGGGGAGCACAAGCCCAACCCAGCTTTCCCCTACTCACAGTTTTCCATGCTCATCCCTATTGCTGCCCCATCTCATCTCCTGCTGCACCGGCTGCTGTGTATTTACAGGCAGCCAGGGATGCTCATGGAGATGTTATTTCTCCTCCAGGGCTTGTAAACCCCATCTGCTGGAGCTGCCCACCAGCTCGGGGGGAATTGCCAGGCCTTGCTTGTGGCCCAGCACCAGTGATGGGTGCATTTGGAGGCTGTGTGTGTGCTTCATTCCCATGTTTGCCTTGACAGCTCAGAGGTGCTGGGCTGCGGTGCAGGTGTGTGCGGGATGCAGCGCACTGGGATGCTGCAGGGACCCAGCATCACTCTGAGCAGAGCAAACACCATCATGGCTGGGGGTGGGTGGTTGGGGTTTCCTGAAGATGCACTTTTTCCTGTTTCTTGATTTTTTTCACGTTTTCTTACTTGTTTCTCCCTAAAATAGTGGAACACTCACAAAACATCCCAAATCTGAACAATAGGGAGCTGGAAACAGCAGTTTTCGTTTCCCACATGATTCTTTCAGTTTGTTTGTATGTGTCAGACATGGACCCATTGCTTGAGCAGTTCATCTGGGGAGCTCAGAGCTCCTCTGCAAACAGGGGACCAAGGATGGAGCCCCTTGGCATCCTTCAGATGCTGGTCCTGAACATGGCAGGGAGGTAACTCAGGGCTCTTCCTTTCGTGGAGGCCCTGGACCAGTGATGCTCCATGATGATGCACTGTCTAGGAGAACCTGCAGTGCTCCTCCCTTGGGTACCTTAAGGCACTTAAACTTCTCAGCTGTTCAGCTAGGACCCAACACCACCTCTGCTCCCCTCACAGCTACAGCATGGCTGATGTGGAGCTGCACAGAAGCCATCTGAATGCTGCTTTTGGGCCACTGCTGCGGCTGGACTGGGTTATTGCTCCATGGAAGTCCTTCACCACATCCACTTGCAGGTGGTTTCTGCAACTGTAACGATGCTGTTAAAGAGCAGTTAAGCGGTTTTTGTTTGGGCTCTTTGGCTTGATGTGGGTGTTTTGTCTGTTTTGTGGCTTTGTTTGGGTTTTTTGGTTGAGTTTGGTTTGTTGGGGGGGGGGTTTAATGAAGAAATAGAAGAGGCTGGGAGTGCTCGTTCATAGAACCCCAGCCTGGTTTGTGTTGAAGGGACCTTAAAGCTCCTCCAGCTTCAACCCCTGCCATGGGCAGGGACCCCTTCCACTGGAGCAGCTTGCTCCAAGCCCCTGTGTCCAACCTGGCCTTGAGCACTGCCAGGGATGGGGCAGCCACAGCTTCTCTGGGCACCCTGTGCCAGCGCCTCAGCACCCTCACAGGGAAGAGCTTCTGCCTAAGAGCTCAGCTCAGTCTCCCCTCGGGCAGGTTCAAGCCATTCCCCTTGCCCTGTCCCTACAGGCCCTTGTCCCAAGCCCCTCTCTGTCCCCAAGAGCCTCCTGCTCTGATGGAGCTCCAACTTCGGCAAAAACCCCCGGAGGTCTTTGAGAGGATTTTGCTTCTCAGCCACTTCCCCATCATTCACCCCCTACAAGCCTATTGGAGGTCCCTGCCCCAGCGATGCCCTTGTAGGGCAGGAAGGCAGGAAGGGGATGTCCCTTCGAATGAGTGGGGAGGAGACACGCGGCTCGTGGGGAAGGGGCTGCCCCCGAGCGTCTGTTACTGGTGAGTTGTTTCAGCCTCTTTTCTATGTTTTTTCCTCCCAAGATGCTAATTGTCGCCGTTAGTTTAGTTGCAAGCAGGAGGGGAAGTGTCCGGCTTTGTCCCTTTGCTGGTGCAAACTAGGGGTACCCATCACTGAAAGCCCCCCAAAGTCTCTCCATTCTCATGTCCTTGGAGGAAAGGCTAAAAGAGCTGGGATGGGCACACGTGGCCCAGGCACGTGTAAAGGCTCCAGAAGTGTGGTTTAGCTGATAATTGCCTTTGTTTTAAGTAAGAAAAGGGATGTTCCATGACTGGTGCGTGGTGCTTTTCCTGAGCCATCAGAAAGACGGCAAAAGGCTCTGGCTTTGTGTTTGTGGGGATTTTGGGGTGCTTTTTCGTTTAACTTTGACTTTGTTGTGGGGTTTGTGTATTGTTTTAAGCTCTTTGGGTTTGCTGGGAATGCTGTGGGGAGGTGCAAAAGCTCGTTAAGGCTGGAGGCTCCCTCTTGCTTGTGCTTGCGTTAACACCACGTGCATTAGGTACCTCCGGAGCTCTTTGCAGCCATGCAGTGCGAACGATACCAGTTGATAACAGCATTAATGAGAAATAAGCATCTTTGTGGTCACCATATGAGCTTGAAACCCTTTGCAAGGGCCATTTGTGCAGCAGCAGCAGCTTCCCCCTCTGCAAGATGCTCTCGATGCTCTTGCACCGCTGTACTCCCTTAATCACACCTGCAGCAATCCCATGGTAATCACCAGCACCTGAGGGCAATTTGCATCCCCCAACGGCTTTCAGCGTCTTTAGCAGCTTCTCGAAGCCCATCCAGGTGTTTCTCATTGGGGGAATCAGTTAGAAGCTCCCTGCAGAGCCGGAGCGCTGTGGATGTGATGGGGCTTTGTGGGAGCAGCAGCTCCATGCGGTTTTCCCTGTGCTGGAGGCGGGTGCTGCTG